AAAATGTCATTTGCAAAGACATGACAAGATGTTCCTAGTGACATTCTCTGGGTGATAAAACCAAAACCAAACTCGCTGCCATGGGGTTGAGTCCAGCTCATAGTGACCCCCACTGGGTTTCCGAGACGGTAAATCTTTATGGAAGTAGATTGTCCCTTCTGTGGAGTGGCTGGTGGGTTTGAACCACCAACCTTGTGGTTAGCAGTCAAATGCCTTAGGCACTGCGCCACCAGAGCTTCTCTCACTGGATGATAGGAGGCTTTTTTCCTTATTTTTGTTGGTTTGTATTTTCTAACATTTCTTCATTTTAAATTTTCATTACTATGCATTTTCTTATTTTTTCCAACTTTTTACAAGGCACACAGAAATGCTTTTTGTAATATTAAAAGGTTATTTTAAACTTTGAAATGCTTAGTGAAAAACACCTCCCTGTGATAGTAAGGTGCTACCTGCACCAGGCCTCTGGGAATGGTCACCGACGGGATGGGGCGGCCACCGAGGGGAGGGGCCTCAGTCCCACGGGATCCCAAGAACTGCCCACTCTTCTCCTTTGCTCCAGCTGGAGCTTAGAGCCCCATCCCCTACCTGAGTTCTGCACAGGCTCCAGAAAATCCCGATCATCCCATTGGGAAAAACACAGCTACCTGTGGGATGATTCAGGGATTTTTCTTTCAAAAAAAAACACTAACCAACCCAAGGCTGGTTTTCTCCAACAACCCAGTCCATGCTTGACCCCTACCCTCTCACTGTCTGGACCATTCCACTTCATTTTAATACAGGAGCTCTGGTGGTGTAGTGCCTAAGGCATCTGACTGCTAACCAGAAGGCTGGTGGTTCAAACCCACCAGCCACTCCTTGGAAGGAAGATTGGGCAATCTACTTCAGTAGAGATACCACCTCCGAAACCCAAGGAGGGGTCACTATGAGTCATAACCGACCTCTCACTGTCTGGACCATTGCACTTCATTTTAATAGTGGGTTGGAAAAAGCTCTTGGGACTGTTGTAGGGTCTTGGTAGGATTTGGTTGTCATGAGTGGTCTCCTAAGGACAGTCCATCAGTGGTTAAAAAAACCAAAACCAAACTCACTGCCGTCGAGTTGATTCTGATTGATATACAGCAACCCTACAGGACTAAGAAGAACTGCCCCATAGGGTTTCCAGTGCTGTAACTCTTTACGGAAGAAGACTGCCACATCTCTCCCACAGCGTGGCTGATGGGTTTGAACCTCTGAGCTTTTGGTTAGTAGCTGACTGCCTTGACCACTGTGTCACCAGAGCCCCTTTGACAGGGTAAGAGCCGCTGGATTTGGGAACAGGGAGGCTGAGACCGTGGGATTTCCCTGGGCCTTAGTGCTCCACCTTTTCAAAGGGCAGAGTCATCCCCGTGCCTCCTCGCACATTCTCAATTTCCTGGAGGAGAGACGCCACCTACAACCAGGGCTCAGCCGTTCTGGGGGCTGTGAGCAGAGTGGCTTCAGGCAGAAAGCCCGCCTCACCACTCAATGGATGGAACCACTGTGGGCACCCACATCCACTCCTGTCCCCGACACTACCCACGTTCCAGGCCCATGCTTGCTCCCAACCCCATTCCTAGAGCTGCTTACACCTCTGTCCTCCTGCCCAGCCCCCATGCTTTCTGGTCGTGCCTACACCTCTGGAGGGAGGAGAGACAACAGCTGCATTTTCCGTCCTGGACAAGCTCCGTGGGGGCACTTCCTGGCTCGCTTAAAGTTGCTGCCAAATCCGAACATGGTGAACGTTCTGTGCGGAGGGTCGTTGGGACGATGCCTGGAGAAGGTGTGGGCTGGAAGGTCAGGGCCTGACCACTTCCCCACACACCGTCCACTTCTGCCTACAAGGACCAGGAAGGGGACCGCAACCTGTCCCCTCCCACCCACCTTTGTGCTCAGGGCTAGTAATCTCTCACACGGGAAAGGAATAAGTCCAGGGAGACAGTTCATTATTTGAAAAAGACGTTTATTGCCGGGCAGCTACAAGGCAGAGCCCCTTCCTCACCCGGGGCTTCTCTACAGCTCAAAGAGGGGGCGCTCCAGCACCCCGCGCCCTTGGTTCGGGGCCCCTAGTGGTACACCTTATGATTCTACGACTTGGCCAAGTTAGAGGTCAAATCACAGTTTGCACCAGGAACCATCTGGGGCAGAGCCTGGGGCTGTTGGGACCCTGCCCTCCTTGGGGCCCCCAGATCTAGCAGCAGGCCCACTGCAGTGGGGGCTTCAAAGGTTTTGAGTAAAAAAAAAACAAAAACATGGTTGATTTTGATGGGTTCCGTGGGGGCACTTGCCAACGTCTGTATCTCTGACAATTCTGCTCTAAAACAAATCGCAGAAATCGTAGCATTTAGGTGAGAGTGGAGGTCAGGAACAGGGCTCCTGCTGATGGTTCCTAGTCTGAGCAGGCTGTTCTAGTCCAGAGTCAAGATGAAGTCCTCAGGGCTGATGAAGCTGTTGGGACAGAACCTATAGTTTGCTGCCCTCTTGTGGCCCAAAGGTGATAAAAGCTCATCAGTCCCCTTTCAGCAAAGACCTGGCTCAAGCGACCGTTAAGGGTCAGGCCGCTGGACAAGGTGTGGGCTACAGAGAGGCCGCTGCCTGGGCTCCCAGGCTAGTGGTGCTGGCCTTCTGCAGAATCGAAGTGTGACACCAACACCAACACTCACGCTGGCTTTGCACAGAGAGGGCCTGTGACCACAGCTGAGGCTTCAGCATCTTTGATGACGAGCGTCCCTCCGTCCCCTGGGAATGACGGAGCCAGGGAGGTCAGCTTGTCATGGATCTGCCGCCCAGCCTCCATTCCATTCTGCCCACCATCCATTCTCCTCATCTACTTCAGCATTTGGGTTTTCTCTTCCAAAGAGCCTCTCCCTTGAACCCCTAGTGCTGAAGCTCTGCCGTCTAACAAAACACTTAACTTACCTCTAACGGGGCAGCCGTTACACACTGAGATTTACAAGGAATTAACAAACACAGGGCCCTTCTTCGGGGCCCGGATGCAGTTTCTGTATCTGTCCACAAAACCCACCGCCATCAGGACAATTCTGGCTCATGGTGACGCTAGGGACACAGTGGAAACTGCCCCAAGGCTGTAATCTTTATGGAAGCAGACTGTCACACCTTTCTGACCTTTAGGTCAGTGGCTGAGCACTTAACCATTGTGCCATCAGGGCTCACACTGAGTGACTTCCCTTTCATGTCACTGAACCTTCACAGTAACATATTTTACAGATGAGAAACCTCTTAAAAGGGAACTTGCCCAGGGCCACCTGGGTGGTAGGGCCCAGGGCCACCCAGACGGTAGGGCGAAGCAGGTTTCACACTCAGGTCGGCCTCTGTGGTTCAGGGCAGCAGAACGTGGGCCCGGGGAGGCTGGTGAGACAGGACCTAGGATTGTATCTGGGGGGGAAGAGGACGCCCTATGTGGTCCTGGGTTAGCTTATCTGCTACCCCCCCCAAAAGACAAGTGGCTCCAGTCCACCAGAGGCGCCTTGGAAGAAAGGCCTGGTGATCTATACACGTCTGGAGAAACAGCCACACTGGAAAGCCTAAGGAGTTCAGGTCTACTCTGACAGGCCTGGGGTCACAGGGCAGCACTGGGGGCGAGTACCCGCAGACCGTGGGAAGCCCTTGTTGGTAAGTGCAAACGGTGGCTTGGTTTCTTTGCTCAAAATCTCTCGCATTCTCTGCGAGACACTCATGTCCACAGGCCACCCGCATCTCCAACGTTCCCTACAGAGCGCCTGTGGGAACTGAGAGGCCAAGGGCAGTGCGTGCACGTTCTGATCTCCGTCAACAGTGACTCCTAACCACACCGTCATTCTTTCCAAAGACATTTTATTAGTGGCACATGGGACTGAGAGGTGAGCGGTTTCTTCCCGAGAGGAAAACCCTGACCCACTAAAGCACTGAGAGGATCCATCGTGGCAGGAAGGCCGTTTCCAGTGAACGGAGGGGAGGGCGCTCTCCAGTGAACCCTCACGGAGGAAATGGTCGCAGTATTTGCTGTGTGGACCATGTGGCCCTGCACTCCATTCAGCGGGAGGGGAAGTCCCCGAGCCCTGGACCGTTCCGGGGCCCTCTCAACGTCAGCAGGACCTGGAGGCTGGAGGGGTCTCGGGCCCCAGTTACTCGCTCTGTGGCTGGCTCTGATCAGGTGTGCTGGCGAGTGGGGGGGGGCAGGCACTGCAAACAAGGTGGGTGAGGAGGCTTATCTGTGAACCCAGAAAACCCTCAGGCCCCACAGAGCCCCACAGAGCCAGCCAGTCCCCATCACGGCCCTTCGTTCCTGGATCAGAGAGCCTGTGGCCTACCAGAAGGTGCCCCCCTCAAACTTCTGGAAACACGTCTCTATTAGTAAGTCAGAGAAGATGGGAACCTTTTCAGAAAAATCAGTTCCCCCTCTCACAGACGAGGAAGTGGTCTCTGACAGGATGTTCAGTATTTCTGCCCAGCGTGTGTCGGTCTCACACTGAGCTCCACGGTGCTGTGAGGCCCGCCGGGCCTCTCCCGTGAGCTCGGCCGCTGCTGCTCGGTCTCAACTTCCAAAACCTCACTGGGTCCTTTCCTTCCCACCTCGCCACCTTCCCAGACTTGTGGCCGAGGGCACCCGAGGCGTGTCGGTCCCCTCCACAGCCCACAGTTGTGTCGCTGTGACGGGTCCCACAATGCCACAGGCGGCTTCCGTCATGTGGGGTCACTCCCTGCCTCCTTCCTCCCCGGACACAGCATGGACGGTTCACAGGAGACTCACAGAGGGTACTGTCTCCACCAGTCTTATCTTACTGCGATCTCAATACAGGCATCTCTATCATTGCCTTAGCACCCGCCCCCCAACCAAACAGTCAGATAGTTACCAATCAAGGCGACAGAACGAGGGAGAGATCGTGTAGTTTTTCCAGTTGTACATGTAATTGGTTAAACTAGGTCCCCACCTGGGAGCCGGACTTTACCTCCAAGCCAGCACTAGAACACAGTCCTCCACGGGCTCAGGGCAGGTCGACGACAGTGCTCTCGTCCAGGTCGATGCCGGAGTGCAGCTTGCCGTCCCTGGCGGCCGCCCAGGGCATGGAGGTCGATGTCCACTTCACCACCCAGTCTCCTGCTTTGTCCACCACGATGAGACCACCTAAACCTTTAAGCCTTGACTTCATGTAACCCAGTGACAGGCTAGCGGCCTCGTCCAGCGTCTTCCCTGAAAACAGAAAGGGTGTGACGTGACACAAGTCCCCGAAGGGATAGAATCATTTCCATGTGAACCACCAAAGCCGGGAAACAAAGGTTTTGGTCAATGGTCTCTGTGACTGCTCCAGCCCCTGGGCGGTGCCAATGGTTAACACGCTCAGCCAGCTGCCAACCAGCCAAACGGCTGGAGGCTCGCGTCCACCAGAGGTGGCTTGGAAAAACAGCCCTGGAGATCGACGGCTGAGAAGATCAGCCACTGCAAACGCTGTGGAGCAGTTGTCCTGTGACACACACGGGCACCACGGGCGGGAACCGATCCCACAACTTCCGACTGCTGCAAGGACGGTCTTCACTGAGTCCTGCAGGCGCAGTGGTTAAGTGCTTGGCTGCTAACCCAAAGGTTGTCTGTTCGAACCCACCAGCTGCTCCGCGGGAGGAAGATGTGGCAGTCTGCTTCTGTAATGATTAACCAAAAAACCCCCAAACTCGCTGCCACAGAGTCTGTTCCAAGTCACAGCAACCCTACCGGACAGGAGAACTCCCCTACAGTTTTCCAAGGCCGTCACCTTAATGGAAACAGACTGCCAGGAGCGGCTGGTGGGTTCAAACCGCCGACCTTTCGGTTCGCAATCAAGCGCTTAACACAGCACCATCAGGGCTCCTTTTCTGTAAAGATTATAGCCACGGGAAACCCCATGGAGCTGCTCTGGTGTGACACACATGGGGTCACCATGAATGGAAACGACTCAATGCCAACTCTGTCCCACTGGGAATGCTTAGAAGGATGCTCTTCACCAGAAGAGGCCGCCCTTGCACTGAGCCCCAGCCGAGCCCAGCAGGAGCAGCGGCCCCCAGGCTCCATGTCCCGCTACTGCCCCCCTTTCTTCTGAGAAGGGAAAAGACAACAGAACTTTATTTTAAAATCTCCTACTTGAGATCCTAACAGAAGGTGGGAAGGAGACCAAGTCACATGTTGATCACCCGGAAGCAAGACACGTAGCAAACAAGAAGTGGTTTCACAGACTTTTCCACCTGTTTACCAGATAAAACCCAAAAACCAAACTCAGTGCTGTCAAGTCGATTCAGACTCACAGCGACCCCTCCTTGGGTTTCCGAGGCAGTATCTCTACAGAAGTAGGTTGCCCAGTCTTCCTTCTGAGGAGTGGCTGGTGGGTTTGAACTACCAGCCTTCTGGTCAGCAGTCAGATGCATTAGACACTATGCCACCAGCTCTGTTTATTCGTCTCCACCAATCCCGCGCTCTTTCCGTACCTTGTTCTATGTGGAAGAGCGTGAGCCTGGCCAGGTTCACCTTCAGGATGCTCTCCCCGTGGCCCGTGGTTGAAACGGCCCCAATGTTATTGTCAGCATAACCTCCAGACCCTGCTCACAAAGAAGGTGATTAGCTCCAACTGAGCAGCAGGTCAAGAAATTCCAACCCATGAGGCAAGTCTAACGTTACACAGATATTAAGTCCCAAAGGGTGCTATAGTGTAGGCGAAGGTCAAACAGTAGCCATGACCTTGTGGATGCCAAGGTGCACTAGGAAGCACCTGTGAACGCCCTGAGATGCAGGAGGACGAGGGGTGCCCCAGGGAGGGGAGCCTGGCCTTTCAAGGACCCCCTCCTTCTTTGCTCCAAAGAGTACCCCCTCGTGCTTGGGGAAGCCATGCCCCCTATCCCATCCCACACCCCACACACTTAGAGAGGAAGTCCAGCAGGACTGTGTTGTCAGGATCACCAGGAAGTCCACTACATTCAAAGAATCCTGGGAAATCGAGACCCCTAAAGCCAACACCCATGCACGCCGTCCACTGACCTGGGGAGCAGATGCATTTGATGAGGGTGGCTTTTGGACCTGAGGAAACTGTTCTGGGCTCCCACTTAGGGAGGGTCTGGAGCTAAAACTACTGGTGAGATTTCTTTCTTATTTTGGCCCAGGATGAAGCAACCTCTGGCCTTCTTCCTGCATTCCCCCATGTTAACACAGAGCTACCTGCCCGAGAGTCCTTCCAACGTGGAAGGGTTGGCTTCCCGCTTCTGTAGTCAACACAGAGGCTCTGTCATCACCATGTGCCTTATGGATGCTGGACTCTGAGGCCCTGAGCTGAATGCCACAGGTTCCAAGGGTTCACAAGGGCAGAAAAGCCCTGATTCTGGTTCTGGAAGGAGCTGAAACTGGGTTGCGAATGGGAACCACTACAACGGGAGGTGTGTGCCCTGTTCCTGTAAACTTGTGCTGCGGGAGTGAGCTGGCTGGCTCCCTTGGGGTTAATAAAGCTACACTTGCCTGC